ACATAATTAATGCTGCTTTTGATTTTGGATTTGAATATTATAAAGAGCATAAATTTACTACAAGATTAAAAAAAATAAATAATATTTTAAAATGCAGTTCTATAGTTCCTGGCCAGTTATAAACAGAGGTACAAATTGCAAGCATAGAATTAAGTAAAATTTTATAATCAAATTTGATTGATAGACCAAAATCAAGATTTAGGAAATTTGTAGATTTATTGTTGCAAGAAGAAGATAAATAATTCAGATATAATATTTACTGGTCAGCAGGCACTGAGGATGCATTGATTATTTTAAATTATTTGGAAGCAAATAGTGATATGATAATATATGAAATATTTAGCAAAAAAGTAGATTTATGGTAGATAATTATCTAAGCAATTACAGAATAAAATGAATTATCTATCAATATTTAGATATAATAACAAGGTAACTAAAGTGAAAATCAAATTTAAGAAAGAAATCCACACCTTTCAATTTGTGTTGTTTAATGACAATATAAATATGCAATAAAATAGATTTAAAAAATTAAAATTATTTATAATTAAATGATTACTTACACCCTTTTTTTGTTAGATTTTCGAGTATTAATCTTTTGAATATATTTGTCTCATTTTTCTTAACTTCTCCAAAAATGGACATCAATTTGAAAGTTATTATGCAATATATATCAACAAAATTATTTCAAAATATTTGGTTTAAAAAAATACAATAGTATTCTGTGTAAATAATAGGAAAAAAGGATTATTGATAATTCTTACAAATATTTCGATTATTTTTTAATTATAAACTAAAAAATAAATTTCGACGTCCTTACATGATTGGTCCCTCGGATAGCTTACTCCTTGCAGAAGAAGGCAAAGAATCCAAATCCCTACAGGAAGACCTTCATACCTAAATTCCTGATTTTTGTTGCTAGCCCACTAGTTACGTTTACTTTTTAAGTAAACCTAGGTAATTTACTGAGCTAAATGATCATATTAATTTTGACTTTCCTTTGCTCTTTTTTGTTTTGGAGATCATCAACGCTTGTCAGCTTAGGCAAGTTGTTTTGTGGGGG